GGGTCTGAGCTGACTGGGAAGATCCAAAATCCCTGGGATTATTTGGGGGGGGTGATGGCTCGAGTTGGGGGGCAAAGGGCAGGGCAAATGGAGCCAATGGCTTGGCTCCCTCTGCCCCCCAAAGCCAAGATGGGGGGAGGGCAGCAGAGACCCAGGGGACCTCCCCCCCATGCCTGGGGTCCCCCCCATCAGGGGAAAGTTTTGCATTGAGATGCTTCCAAAAAACAACAGCAGCAGCAACAAAACCCTGACCCTCCCCACCCCGACCTGCTCCCCCCCCCCAACACGAAAATACCCCTGGGGTGAGGAGGGGAGGAAGAGGAAACATTAGCCCTTGATTCGAGTTCAGCGGTGGGGAGGGGATGTCTGGGGAGGGGGATGGGAGGGAATGGGGGGGCAGAGGGGGTCCCCCACAGATCCCAGGAACACAATGTAGTGGGGAGGCAGGGGGGGACGGGGGAATGGCTTGTGCTGTCGTCGCCAGTATTGGGGGGCAGAAATCCCCCGAGCTTCTCCCCCAATCCCCCTACATCCTGCCTCGGCGGACGCTTGGGCCCCTGGGTGCTGCTTCAGCGGAGTCCAGTTCCCCCCCCCCCCACGAGGAGTCCTGCTCTGCCCGAGCCGGCGTGGGGCCAGGGTGAGGGTGCTGCACCCCCGCCGGGTGGTAGGGGGCAGATTGGGGCGCCCAACACTGTGGCTATTCCTTGCCCCCCAGGGCCCATGGGGGCAGATTGGGGGCATGGCTGGGGTGCCCTGAGTTGTGGCTATTCCCTGCCCCCTGGGACCCATAGGGGCGGATGTGGGTCAGGGCCGGGGCGTCCTGCGCCGTGGCTATTCCATGTCCTATGGCACCAGTGAAGTCAAGAGGGCAGAGCTCAGCTGACCCCATGCAAAGATCCTGAGAAGTGGGGGGGGGGGGCGGAAATCGAGCTCGGGGAGGGGAAGGTTGGAGGCTGGGGCTCCCCATCCGGAGAGGAAAGCTTAGAGCTTCGCCACCCCTGGATGATCAGACGGAGGAGAGAAAATTGCCCCTCGAAAGGGGACCCTAAAAAATCAAATCCTAAAACCCCCCTGCCTGGCATGTCCTGCAGCCTGACCCTTAAAGGGAGTGGCCTCTTCAGGGGGCAGGGGTGGTGTTTTGAAAGGGGGGGCGGGGAGGGGAGCATGAGAGACTGGCTAGAAGGACAACGGGAGTTAAAGGCAATGCTTTTTCCCCCACATGAGGTGGAACGAGCCTGGGGAACTCACCGCCACAGGGAGTCGTGGAGACCAAGAATTTAGGGCGGTTCAAAAGGGGAGTGGACAGGTCCAGCCTGCATTACGCCGGGGGCCAGACTAGGCGATCTCAGCGCCCCAGACTCTATGGAGAACAGGACTATCCGGCGGGATCGTAACATGGGAAGGGATATCAAACCGGTTTTAGGGGGAATGGAAACCAGGAGTCCTGACACCTGACCCCCTTCCCTGCTCTAACCACTAGATACGCTCCCCTCCCCTCCCCAGGGATAGACCCCAGGAGTCCTGACTCCCCAAACCTTCTGCTTTAACCACCTTCCCCTGAAGCATCCGGTACTGGTCACAGTCAGAGACGGGATGGGCCAGATGGGCCCATTAATCGGCTCCAGACAATTTCCTCTGTTCCTGTGATTTCTGGATGCCATCAAGGCATTCCCAATTACCTGGCAGCACTCAGCACCCGCCTCTCTCACAATCAGGCGCTTGAGACGGGCACCCCAAACACTGAAGCACCCCCCGCCAAATCACAGGAGTCTAAGAACTGACCAATGGGCAGGCCCATCTAGCCTGGTATCCCATCTCCACCAGCGGTCTCTACAGACTTGCTTCAGGGGAAGGGACAAGACATCCCAAATACGGCATAACCCACCCAGGGGGTTGGCTTTAAATGATTTCAGCTCTTGATTTATAACCCCAGCTGAAGAGCTTTGCGACAGAGGGCCCGGTTGAATTGCCGTGAGTCACAGTCACCCCTAGAGAAGCTGATCCTTTGAAGGCACCTAAGCTTATGGCCACAGCGACATCCAGTGGTGGGGAGTTCCGCAGGCTAACCATATAGCAGCAAAGCCGCTCCTTGTATTAGTTTTTAAGCTACTGCCTCCCAGGGTTGCAGAGAGTCCCCTGACGTCAGGAGCCAATGTGAAGAAAGGTGTTTTATTTCAGGCCAGCCGTTCTGCACCAGAAGCCATGCCAAGGCCCTCGGGAGTTCCTAATGCCTTGGGGAAGAATGAGATTGTGTAGCGCCTGGGCTAAAGAGCTACGGGGGTACGTGGCCTATAAACCACTATCTGTGGTACAGCCATGAAGGGGAGAGGGGGCCCTGTGGGTTAGCCTGGGTTCCAGCTGCTTTTGATACGTTTAGATGGAGAACTCCGTGGGGAAGACACAGATAGTGTGTATCTGGGCAGTGCCCAGCATGACTGGGCCCCGATCTCGGTGACTCTGTGTCTGGTCAGCGCCTGGCTCAACGGGGCTCCAATCTCAGTGACTTTTTGTCTGGGCAGCGCCTGGCCTGACGGGGCTCTGCTCTTGGTGACGATATCTGTGCAGCGCCCAGCGCGGCAGGACCCCATCTCAGCACCTCTGTATGGGTAGCAGCCGGCCACGCCCCATAGGCATACCACAGTGCAGAAGAGGAGCGTGTTTTGGCATCAGATCTGAGTGCAGAGCAGGACGAAGGGATGAAAAGGTTTGAGGCTGAGACCCGTCAGAACTCTACTGGGTGATGAGATCGAAGATCCCAGGGCCTAGCAAGCGGCCCGCGAAGAAACGGAAGAGAAAGAAAAAGGCATGATACGAAGACCCAGTCCCCCCCAGCGTGGGGGTGACCCACAATCTTGGGGAGAGAGGGGTGGGGTTCAAAAGAGCTGAGGCTGTTCAAACTACATTCACGTGTGCTGGAGGGGTGGGGGCTGGCGCTCCCCCACCCCATGGCAGTGGAGTGGGCTGGAAATCCAAAGAGCCGAAGCACTGGAAGAGAGAAACCAGAGAGCGCTATATAAAGATATGTACATGGGGGGCGGCAGTGGGATGGGATGGAAGTGGAGGTTCGGCCGTACCACGGCCCATGTGAAGAGCTCCCAGCCCCAGCCGTGAGATCCGGGGTGAGGGGGCCATGCGCCAGGGCCGCCACTCGCTCCCACCCCGGCACCGGGGGGCATCCGGCCTGCTGGAGGAGAGCAGTGATGTCATCGGAAGGCACCGTGGCGTCCTCATCGAACGGACGGGGCCGGCAGGCGTGACATCACAGGGCAGGCTGAGTCTCAAAAGGGGGGCCGCGCCTCTGGCGGCGATAGCATCAAAAAGCGGGCCAGGTCCACAGTCATGATGTCATAAAAAAGGGGACTGGGTCCACAGCAGTGACATCATCAACAAGTGGACTGGGCCCACAGTGCTGATGTCATCAAAAAAAAGGAACCAGGTCATCACCGAATATTAACATGGCCGACCTTAAACATCAACAGACCCCGATGATCTTGACATCATCCATCACTGACAAAGTCCGCAGTGCTGACATCGTCAAGGGTTGTCCAGGCCTGGCAGTGCTTGATCTCCTCAACTATTGACCAGGCCAACCACTGTGACATCATCAGTAACAACGCCCAGTGAACAGGCATCATCAATCAGCGACGGAGCCACTGGTCTGATGTCAAAACCAACAGGCTGATGCCTAGGACACTGGCGTCATCCACGGTCGACGAGGTCCACAGTGTTGAGACCATGAAACGGCAATGATGTCATCAGACGTCAACGAGCCCCACAGCACTCATGTTATCAATCACCGACAAGGTCCACAGTGTTGATGTCATGAGATGGATACGGTATTGATGGCAGAGGTTGAGAGCCCTCTTGGCATCATCAAAGGTTGACCCACAGTGTTTACATCATCACAGGTTGACAGGCTTGGTGGTACTGACATCATGACACATAGACAAGGGCCACAGTGCAGATGTCATCAAAGATGGCCAGTGCTGACATCATCATCAAAAGTCAACAGGACACAACCATAGCACTGACGTAATCCCATATGGACAGGCGTGACTGTCCTGACATCATCAACCATCAACAGGGCCCACAGTGCTGATGTCGGTGGACGGGCCAAATGCAATTTGACATCATTGAACGTGGATGGGTCCAAAGCAATCATGACGTCGTCCAATGTCAACAGAGCCCTGGGGCGCTGATGTCACCCAATGTGGATGGGTCGAACACAATCTTGCCATCATCAAATGTCAGCAAGGCCCATGGTGCTGATGTCATCCAACGGGGATGGCCCAACACCACTTTGATATCAAATGTTGACAGGGCCCATGGTGCTGATGTCACCCAACGTGGATGGGCCCCAGGCAATCTTGACATCATCAAAAGTCGAGAGGGCCTCCAGCACTGATGTCATCAGTCTTGGAGAGGCTCAACACAATCTTGACATCATCAAAAGTCGATAGAGCCCAGGGCACTGACATCATCTAACATGGACAGAGACAAGGCAATCTTGACATCACCCAATGTTGACAGGCTCCAAGGTGCTGATGTCATCCAACGTGGATGGGTTCAACGCAACCCAGACATCATCAAAAGTTGACAGGGCCCGTGGCGCTGAGGTCACCCAACACGGACGGGCCCAAGGCAGTCTTGACATCATCACAAGTCAAGAGGGCCCGCAGCAGTGATGTCACCAATTGTGGACATCATCTAACACGGATGGAGACAAGGCAATCTCGACGTCACCCAACGTCAACAGGGTCTCAGGGCCTGACGTCATCCAGCGTGGATTGGTTCAACGTGACCCTGACATCATCAAAAGTTGACAGGGCCCGTGGCGCTGAGGTCATCAAAGGCGGATGCCACCAAAGCCCGGCAAAGGCCGCGAAGCCCGGCAGGCCGCCCGGTCCAAGAAAGAAGACGGGAAGGACGGGGGAAGACGCAGAGGAGGAGGAGGAAGAGAGCTATGGCCTTGGAAAGTCGAGTCCACCTGAGCTGGGCCCTCACACGGTGACCTCGTTCTTGCTCCCGGTGCGGAGGTGCTGGCTGGGGTGATGCCCTGGGATGAACTGCAGCTGCTCGATGGTGCTCTGGCGGCGGGCGCCGAAGCCCTGGCGCCGGCTGGCCGTGTGGTTGCTGCCCACCTCCCAGGCGGCCTGGGCGGAGTTGGCGGAGGAGGGGTGGGAGTTCATCTTGTGCCCCTGGTGGCGTTCGAGCAGCGGGGTGCCGGCGGCGCAGATGTTGGTCTGGGACAGGGCCTTCTGGTGGCCCAGCCGCAGCTCCTGGAAAGGCCCCGTGCCCTGGTGCAGGCGCTCGGGCGAGAGCAGAGGCTCCTGGGAGTGCAGGGCCTCGCGAGAGAGCAGCCGCTCGTGGGAGACGACCCGCTCCCGGGGGCCGGCGCAGTCGTAGGGGGAGGGGCGGTAGCCGTCCGAAAGGATGTGCTCCTGGGACATCACCCGTCGCGGGTGCTGGGCCGCCTCCCCATAGCGCTCGTAGTTCATCTTCATGGCGTGCAGGGGCAGCGTGCCCCGGGTCAGCTCGGCCAGGTGCCGCCGCTTCAGGTACAGCTCGTCCATGTCCTTCTCCGCTGGGGGGGCAGGGCAAAGGCAGGAGGGGCGGGGCAGGGGGATGGGAGGGGCAAAGGCAGGAGGGGAGGGGCAGGGGGATGGGAGGGGCAAAGGCAGGAGGGGAGGGGCAGAGGGGATGGGAGATAACGGACAATGTGACCAACTCTCCTTTGCACGTTCACAGGCTCCATGGCTGGATGGGGCCACTGTGAGTGAATTCATTTCACTCGCAGGCTGCCAGTCAGTCCTGGGAACAGACGGTGCCCCCTAGAGGGGACAGGCCCCGGGCCCCATTCCCCGTCCCCCTGAGCCAGCCAGTCCCCGCCCTGGGGCCGGATGGGAGCTGGCGCCCCCTAGAGGCGAAAGGCCCCGTGCCCCATTCTCCCCCAGGCCAGCTCTGGCCCCCGGGCGAATCCCCAGGGGCTGGTGGCAGCAGTGGGGTCGGGCTGTGAGCGCCCCCCAGTGGCAGGGCCCCTGGCTCACCCAGCCTCTTGAGCGAGGAGTAGCGGCTCAGCTCCGACTTGACGGCCGACTCGTAGGACGGGGGCAGGTGCGAGAGGTTGTGGAAGGAGCGGGAGCAGGTGAGCGAATTGTACTTCAGGCCCGACGTTGGGGTGTGATGCACTCGCCAGTCTGGGGGGGCAGAAAGAGAGGGGAGAGGAGGGGAAGGGAAGGGGGAGTTTGGGGAGAGGGGTCAGGAGAGGGGGAGGGGATGGGGGAGGGAAGGGTTTGGGGGAGGGGAAGAGGGAGTGTGGGGAGGGGGGTCAGGAGGGAGGGGATCGGGGAGGGGAAGGAGTGTGGGGAGAGGGGTCAGGAGAGGGGGAGGGGACAGGTAGAGGGAAGGGTTCGGGGGAGGGGTTTGGAGAAGGGGAAGAGGGAATGTGGGGAGAGGGGTCAGGAGGGAGGGGACAGATGGAGGGAGGGGGCCAAGAAGAGGGGGTTGGGGGAGGGGCAAAGATAGAGATTAAATCTCTGGGCCATTTTATCTCCCCCCACCCCACCCCACCCCACCCCCTTTCTCAGCTGGAGGATTCTGATTCCCTGGGCAGCTCGGGTGAGAAAACGGGGCCCCCTCCCCCTGGGCCAGGGATACAGAGCTGGGCCCTGAGCCCCCCGCCCCGGCCCGTCACCTACCCAGCGTGGCGGCGTGGTGCTTCGGGCTGCTCACGTTGAGGTGCACGTAGTTGTGGTGCATGGTGTCTGCAAGGCAAAGCCGGGTTATTTGTCTGGGGGCAAAACCCCCCAAAACCTCCCCACCAAAACCCAGCCCCTTAAAGGTAATGTGCGAGGTCAGACACCTCTGGGTCTCCTTGGTGCTATTTTCTGTCTGGGGACAAAAAACCGTGGCCCCTTAAAGGTAAGGTGCAAGGTCACACACTTCTGGCCCAGAATCCACTTGATGGTCTTTTCTGTCTGGTGACAAAAAAAACCTAGCCCCTTAAAGGTAATGAGTGAGGTCAGACACTCTGGGGACAAAAACCCCACAACCCCTTAAAGGTAATGTGCAAGGTGAGACTGCTGGGTCCGACTGATGGTATTTTCTGTCTGGGGACAAATACCCACGCCCCTTGAGGTAATGTATGAGCTCAGACACTTCTGGGTCCCCCGCCTGATGGTATTTTCTGTCTGGGGACAAAAAAAAACAACACAGCCCCTTAAAGGTAATGTGCAAGGTCAGACTGCTGGGTCCGCCTGATGGTATTTTGTATCTGGGGGCAAAAAAACAACAACACCCAGGCCCTTAAAGGTAATGTGCAAGGTCAGACACCTCTGAGTCCGCCTGATGGTATTTTCTGTCTGGGGACAAAAAACCCCAAACCCCTTAAAGGTAATGTGTGAAGGCAGACACCTCTGGGGTGAGTGGGAATGTGGGGGTGCAGGGGATGGATCGGGGGATGTGGGAGTGCAGGAGAGGGATGGAGGGAGGGATCAGGGGATGTGGGGGTGCAGGGAGAGGGAGAGATGGAGGGATCTGGGGGATGTGGAGGTGCAGGGGGAGGGATGGAGGGAGGGATGGGGGGATGTGGGGTGCAGGGGAGGGATGGATGGAGGGATCGGGGATGTG